TTTAAAGTGGAGTGAGATCTGTTTCTGTCTGCAGTATTTGACTTGTGCTCATACTGTGGTCAGTCAACTTTGACAATTTGTCAATGATATCTGACTCCCTAAAATGGCCTTAACGTGTTTGTGTTATTTCTGTTCACAAATTTCCCTGACAGATGTTGCTGTAGTTTCTTCAAATAATGTGTTTGAATTATCTTTCAAGCTAGAATATTTTGCCTATTATGTTATCTGTACATTGTCTGCCTTCTCTGAGCGCACCTGCAGAATGGCTGATCAGTGGTGCCTTTAAAATTTTGTACGTATTTGAAGAGTATTTTCTAATGTTCAATTATCCCCTTGTGTTTCTAAATTAAACAAAGTGTTCTGTGATGTTTTCTAAATCACAGCCAAATTTTGCTGTTTTCTTCCTGACTCCTACTAACTTCTTAGAAGTTAAGAACCATCCCAGTATGTGTAGTCTGAACTTGGTTCCTTGTGCTGTGTGTTAAGATACACTTTGTATCAGTTGTAAAGTTTTTTCTCTGTTGTGTTCCTCCATCATTTATGACAATAGGAGTGGCACAGCATCTCGTGCAGTATGACTAGTAATTATCATTCACTTAGAAAACAGATTTGTCCTTATTTTGCTTTCCATCCTGTGGAATCCTTGTTAGCTGATTAAGATGCTTCTGTTCTTAAGGGCCAAGCACAACTTTTCTACTTTAGTATCTGTCCTAGTTTCAGCAGGGATAGAGGTAATTTTATTCCTAGCAGCTGGTATAGTGCCGTGTTTTGGATTTAGAATGAGAATAATATTGATAACACACTGATGCTTTAGTCGTTGCCAAGCAGTCAAGGACTTTTCAGCTTCTCATACTGGCCTGCCAGTGGGGTGTGCCCAAGGAGCTGGGAGGGGAGACAGCCAGGACAGCTTACCCAAACCAGCCAAAGGGATATTCCATATCACATGACATCATATTCCAGATATAACTGGGGGGTTGGCAGGGAGGCAGGACAGCTCAGGGTCTTGCTGGACATTGACTTTGGGTGGTGAGAAATTGTGCTGTTCATCACTTGTTTTGTGGATTAATAATATTGTTATTGTCTTCCTTTTCTGTCCTTAAAATTCTGTCTTAAAATTTTAAATCAGGAAAACATTGCCTAGTAATAGGCAATGCTACCAATTTTTAGTTATTTGTTTCTATGGCAGCAACTTATTATGGCAGCATGTTTTATTTGAAGTTGGTCTGAAAATAAAAATTATGAGATGTGAACATATTGAAATAGGAAAATAATGCACTGATTTATAAAAGCCATATTCAAATGGCATTAACAGTTTTTTTTGTTCTATTCTAGGAAGAGTTTGAAAAGTTTGTGCTGTTTTTCATGAAGGCAATAGATTTTGCAACCCATGATCGAAGGTAGACCCTGCTGATAGGATTAACTCTTTAAATCACAGGAAATGTCACTGAGTTAGGTTTTCATAGTTGTTTGTCTCAGATTTTCACTCAGTAGTTTAGAGTTGTGGCGTTTGGGATTTTGTTCTGCTTTTGTGGATTTTCCTTTCATTTTGTACAACATTTCTGTAACTGTGCATGCTGCAACAATATATGAATACTGAACAGTCTTAAATAGATGGGATGAATCAGCCTGTGTAAGACTGGTAGATATCTCCGAGCGTTTCTTCATGTTTTATATTTATGCTCTGTGGAAGGAGAGCACCACGTTAGCTTATTTTAAGTGCTTAATTACAGGGTAGAGCGTAGTTGCAAGTTACCGTATTCTTGTGTTGTACTTGTGTTGTCAGTTCTTAGTCGGGATTGGTTCTTATCTAAACACATAGGAAAGTTTCGATTTTTGTTTCTTAGAAGTGCCTTAAAATATTCCGTATGTAATTTTATGTTTATCTAAGTCCATGAAATACTAAATTCTTGATTCTTGTTTTTCAGGTATTATTTTTTGATATATAATGCTTCAGTTCTGTATTGGCAAGTTGTGAGGCCATATCTTAAGCCTGGATTCCGCTATTGTCTTATTCCCAGCCTTTCTCAGATTGTTAAAGCATTAAACCAAACTGAAGAGCAAGACAATGAATGGAGAGCAGAACTCATGATGTAAGTTTAATTCTATTTTTTCATATTCTCATCCTGTAGTCTTGTACATGTGGCTGCCACCTTAAGGTAGTCTTTCATAAAGTATATTCTGTTGGTAACATTGTAGATAAATTTATTGTGGAAAGCTTAATTCATAACTTTTAAAGATACATAAATGTATACTTAACGTAAAAGGTGCTTCATTTTAATATTTATTTGAGGTTAAAATTTTAGCGGCAGAAGCAGTTAGGCCCTAGGTCCAATCTGAAGTATCACAGTCATTTTGGATGTAGTGTTTGAGTCATTGCTTATGTGCAGTCCTTTTAAGGGAGGAGAAAGAAAAACTCCTGTTTTCTTTAAGAACTATTTTCTTCAGGTAAAGAAACATAACCTTTAAATAGATAAAGAAAGATCTCTTCAGTCCTCTGATCCCTGAAGAGAAAGGAACAGCCTGGTAAGGTTGAGAGAACATACTCGGGATACCTTCTAATTTTCTCCTTCTTCATTGTGAAGATTTTATATCTTTCTTACTATTTTTTTTTCCTCTTGTTAACCCATAACTATAGGTTGAAATGAAACTTTGTGAAAAATCAGTGAGCAAAATAAGTATTTCTATTGCAAATACAGCAATTAAGAATACAGAGATGAGTTGTCATCAGTAGTGGTGTGGGTTTTATATGTAAGTCACATGCTTTAATGTGCAATTTGGTACTGTATGGTTCTTATCAATGTAATTATTTTCGATCAAGCTTTTTAATTAGTATTATATCCAGTTTTCTTCAGTATTAAATTAAAGGCTGTCCCTGCTAATTTGGATATACTGCTTGGCCTGATGTTTCAAGGCATGAATGAGATAGATCTTCTTTTAACCAGTCGTATGCAAAGTAAGAGCCCAACAGTTACAAAAAAGAGAATAACTTGCATAAACAAGGCTATTGAGATTTAAATCAACAGGTTTTCTTTCTGGGAGTTAACAAAGGGAAATAGATTGTTTTTTGAGAGTTAAACCTTCCATCACGGTGAATTCACAGAATATCTTTAAATATTATGCAAAAAAAATTAGAATTAAAAGTCTAATAATTTTTAGGGAAGAGAGTATTAATCTAGGGCTGGATAAAAATGCCTTCCACATTTACGTCTGTCATAACTGAAATTTGTCCCCCAATTTCGTGTTTTATTTAGGAAATATATAGGGGTTTATGCATACATATTGTTCAGAAGTGTGTATAGTGTAATTTACACTGAATTAAATATTAATTCTAATTAGCATCTTTAGGAATTGATAGTTCACTGAAGACAATTAATGGATGAAGAAATATGTTGTAATTTTCCCCATTTCAAGGATGTTGTTATTAAGCATGACTGAAAGTGCTTACTGCTTGTATAAGGAAATGAAAAATGCAACCCGATTAAATGTAATTTTAAAAGATGGGTACAAATACAGAATTTTCAAATAGACATGTATGTTGTTACTTTCTGCTATAGCTGCTGGGTTTTAAGTCACTGGAGAAATTAATGCTTTTTTATGTTGCCTTTAAATACATTTTTCTGTAATGAGAATAACAGAAAGGTACATGTTAACGTATTACAAATATGCTTAAATAATTATCAGTGTATCTATTGAAAATATCCTTGTTTGTTTGAGCTGTGTATGAGTGGTCTTGATCTGACTTCCCATTGCATGTTGAACAGTGTACATACGATGACACCTGTGCACTTATTTTTCAGATGTCATCAGTGTTCAAATGGTAGAATTTAAATATTTTTGTGTTTAAACATGGTCACTTCTGCTAAGAAAAAACATGCGCGAAGGAGTTTTCTTCAGACAGAGTGTTTGCTTGAGTTAACAGTCTTGGGTTATAACAAAGCATACATTTTCTTAGTGAAAGGCCCCTGGTTCTGCTATCTTCACAGAACAGTTGAGGTTGGAAAGGTCTTCTCAAGATCATAGAACCCCAGCCTGGTGTGGGTGGGCAGGGACCTCCCAGCCCATCCAGTGCCACCCCTGCCATGGGCAGGGACACCCTCCACTAGCCCAGGTTGCCCAAAGCCCCATCCAACCTGGCCTTGAACACTGCCAGGGATGGGGCCTCCACAGCAATCTCTACTGAAAGAAACAGTTTTGTGTGCAAAATGAAGAGTGTCCATGTAGTTTTTCAAGGTCAGACAAACTTTTCTCAGAGATGTTTTGGTCTGCTATTCTACACACTGTTTCCAGTTCCTGTTACACTTCTGCCACAGTTTTTTTCCTTTCTCTTTGTGAATTTTTCTATTTCTTTGGTCTATGACTGATGGTTTATTGCTATGGAGCATTTTCTTTATAAGCTGAAACTGGAGGGAAATAAAAAATTAAGTAACAAAACATTCCAAAGGGTATGTTAAAGGTTATCTAGAATACTACGCATGCAGGTTTTTTATACAAAACATACTCTTGCTGAGGTATTGATGAGAACTAGCAAGTGCACACAATGTGTTTGTGTTACGAAACTAATGGTAGCATGTATTTTCTCTTACATTTGTGTTTAATTTTGAATATTTATTGTTGTTGTTAATTTATTTCATGGAATCACAGGCTATTTTTCAGCTAAATCAGAGAAAGTATTGAAAAAATCAGTAGATATGCTGCAGTTCCCAACATGAATAGTTTTCTTTTGCTAGATGGCTTCTAGGCTTTCCAGTAGTTAAGGAAGAATCTTAGAATATATCTCACAGAAATGTTTTTCTCATACAGCTTTAAATAATTTATTGTTTTAATTCCAGATGTCCTGTTGAGAAAAGTTTTCAGAAAAGTCTCCATTTCCAGGATTATTTTTATGATCTGCAATAAATGTATGTTAACAGCTGTCTGTCTCCTGAAGAAAGAAAGATGTAGAAGTTAGAGGATGTCTTTCATGTTGATTCAATGTTTTATAGCACTAATCACTTACACTGCATTTAGGAGTGGTACCTTAAATATAAAGACTCTCTTGAAAAAATATAATTAAGAATTGTTTCAGACAGTGTTAATAAGTATTTAATGCAAATATTTATTTGATCTGCAGAAATTTACTTGAGTGCTTCCTTGATGCTTCCAAACTGAAAGAAGCAAAGGAGTTTTCATCTACTGCAGCAGCCTTTATTAAGGAAAATGTTCCAGATAAATACTCTCAAATATTTTCTCTAATGGTAATGCTGTAAAATATTTTAAATTCCCAGTAAGACAGGAGTTTTCTCTACATTTCATAAGATCATAGTTACAATTGTTAAATATGTTGTTTCCTTCATTTAAATTTTGTGAGCTCCCAAACGATACAGTAGAATTGCAGAGATTTTTACAATTTGTATATTTTTGATACTATAAGCTAAAGTGTTCCCTACTGCTCCATGTTATTTTAATACAGCATAATATCATTGGGATAACTGTTGCTAGCCCTAAAAATTATGTTTGGGAATAATTACTTTTAACACAGAAGGTGTAGTGGGTGCAACTTAACCTGTCTTATGCCATTGAGTGTACATAGCATCTGTTGACTTTTCTCACACCGATAAATACTTAAATGACCTAACTTGAACCTTATAAGTAGTTCTGGGAATCAGAGCAAATAACAATAGTTCACATTTCTTGCATGCACTTAGTTTTGGAAATAAGGGGATGAAGACGAATGTGGCAAAAGCAGAAACAGGCAAATAAAGCTTGGCAGTTGGATGCAGTCATATTTTCTTTTATTCTGGTACACTGTATTGTCTCTGTCTATTCCCAATCATTGCATTTCAAGAGCATATGTTTATAATATAAAGTTCTCTAACATTTGAATTAAGGGAACCAATCTACAACCTTCCAGATGCACAGTATTAATGAAGCAATAACATTTAGGCAAGGTCAAAATTACTTTTGTATTTTTTAGAGGCAGTGTTGAGGAAAGCTATTTAACAGTGGCCTTAGAAGAATAAAGTTGTTCTAAAATTGTACTCAGGGTATATGTCTCAGCTGGGCTACAGAAGTAGGATCCACACTATTGAGTGCTTTAGTAACAGCATACTTAAGTCCTGCAAAACATACTGTTCCAGTATAGCTTAAGTAATCAGTATTGCTTGCAATGGGCAGTCAGTGTGAAGGAGTCAGAAGAAATTATGTGCACACATTTAATGTGTAACTCTACAGTTAAATTGAAGTAACTACAGTTTATTGCCATTTCTTTATAATGTTTTTTGTTATATGTAATTTATAGTTACAGATAAATTTTAATAGGCCTTGTTTCTCATAACTGGATAGATGATTTCAGAATGGGTGCTATCAAAAGGTGTTATTAAAAATGCATTAATTAAAATTCTAACTCAGATGTTAGTTCCACATTTAGATTTCTGCTCATACTTCTCATCCTCACTGTGTGAGGATTAGTATAGCTCTACTAGGTGATCTTTGTGGTATCTATGCAGAACGACATAGATTATCATAGTAGTCTCACTGCCCCTAAAGTCCATGAAGAAGCCTAGAGTCAACATACCTGCTCTATTTTATCCCTGTTGAGTGTCTGTCCTTCATTTGCTTGTTTAGTCAATTAATAATTAAATTGTTATTTTACAGGTATATCACAAGCTAATGGATATTGCCCAGGTAGAGAAGGAAATACAAAATTCTGTCCATTTTTCAGTTATTTATAAAATGCAGATGTTAAAATTGTAAGTATTAAAATGTATCCTTCCACTTGTACTTTGATGCTTGATGTTACAGAGGTAGGGTCAGGTTCTGGTATCCCATATGCCAGTAGAAAAATCTACTGCAAAGGTTAATTTCTGAAAAGGAATACTGTAATGGCAGTTTGGGTAGTAATTGCCAGGCCTGTCTAGAGAACAGCCTCAGCTAAAAAGTGAGATGGTTCTTTGGGAATGTAAAGAATACTGTGTTGTACAGATATTCTCAGGTGAAAGAATTTAAGAGATCGAAAAACATTTCTGTATCCAACAGATTGGTACGCAAGTTGTGTATAAGAGAGTAAAGATGAAGTGGGGAAATCACACCTAAATACAATGCACGAATTGCAAGGATGAGAAGTGTAATACTTCTTAAATTTTAAAGGCATGAAACAATTTTAAAAATTAGACTTCATAACAAAATGTCATTTAAATTTTTTTTCAATGTCTCAACACTTCCCCATTGAAAAGTATTAATTCTTTTCTTAGTAACAGTGCATTAATTTTTGTTGACATTATAGGAAAGGAGTTTTGCACACCATTTGTCTTTGCTTCTGGAATAAAATTTACTTTATCACCAGAAATATTAATTCTTATGCTGGAATTTTCTTTTTGCTTCGTATCTCGATGCCTCTGAGTAACCTACTTGGCATACTGACGTAGATTTTGTTGACTTATTTATTTTTTTCTTTGATATTTCAAAATCCAGGTGTCCCATTGATACATTGGACTAAGAGTCATCCATTCTAAAGTTAGGAGAGTTATTTCAAATTTTTAATGCAATAATATTTCTTGTGAAAAATTATGATCAATTCCTAATATATTGCAGGCAGTGGGACACAAATGAATTTCCAAGTGATGCCATCGCAAATCTGAATTCTGTATATGTACTTCTGAAACAATACAGTGTACCTCCAGCATCTCTTCTCAGTGTGAAGTGAGTTTTTCTTGTCATAGCCCTGTGCAAGTTGATGCTGAAGCAGATCCTGCTTGCACTGAAGTCTGTCAAAATTCCTGTTGACCTTGAAGAGAGTGAAATCGTACTTAGTTATAATAGTTTGTGTTGCGTTAATGCTTAGGTCGTCTTGAAAAAAGACAAAGATCCTACTAGGTTTTATTAAAGAACCCAAGGTTAACTATCTTCTTCCATATAGGTGTTTGTATAATGTGATTAAATCTTTCCGTAACCATTTGTTGTTGATAAAATGAAATTTTAAAAAGGTCTTAGAACTGACAAGTGCTTTTCAGACTTTAGTTCATTTTTAGCTTTTCTTGTGGCCCTTTCCAATTCTTCAGCATAATTTTGAAATGCAGACTAAACTGAACTCTCTATTCCAGTAGTTTTATCACAGCTGTTACATGTGGAAATAATACTACATTTTTACTCGTTAAGGTCAGTCGTCTTTGTTGATATTCAGGTATCTCATTACTTCTCCTATCCCAGATAGTACACTATGCTCATTCAGTTATTTACAGAGATCCAAACGTATAGCCCAGTCTCCTGCTGTGGGTGTTCTGTGTTCTTAGTTCCTAAATAATGGACCAATGGATTTGACTGTTGTGTGCCAATTCACTGCATTGTATTTACAGAATTACCTGCAGTCTTCATTTGCTATTTTACCATCTTTGTGCTGCATACATTTCAGTCTGTATTTTTTATGTTCTTCAGGAACAGTTTGTGCAAGACTGCAGTAGAAGTATACTAATCATTTTCCATAAACAGATGAACTTTTGTATTTTTCATGTAGCCAACTTTAATATTTTTCCTTTTTCCTTGTTAAATAATCACATCCTCCAATATTCAGGTGACTTTAAGGTTTTCAGATATATTGCACCAAGTTACTTTCATATAGTGTTTTTCTAATTCCATAGAAGAGCAATATCAGATTCTCTGAAGTGACATTTTTCTATTTTTGAAGGATTCCTTTACTTCTGGAATTAGCTCGTTTTTGTGTGAAAGTAAACTACATTAAGCTTGCATATGATTGTATACTTGATTTGAAGAAAGCTGGGATTACTGTAAGTATTAATATTAATTACAGTTGATTATTTTTTTAAACACCCTCCCTCCTCTTGTGATTATACTTTAAAAATAATGCTGATGGTTCTGGGATTGTCTGTCCATCTCTGTATTATTTATATATTCATTAATATAAATAATTACTTGGATAAGTGATCTATTCCTAAACTAGAGACAAGATGTAAGGTCAGAAGGTAGTGTACAGGTAGAATAGGGTAATTAGCAGTGCAGTTAGTTTCGGCAAATAAGTATTAATTGTAAATTTTGGCCTATGGTTTTTCAAATCTTCTCTGTGGAACACTTTGATTGGAAGTTAAATGCTACCTGCAGGTTTTGAACATTTAACCAGTTTACCCATTGAGATGGTAATTGGTCCCCAAGATGTAAGCTCTAAAAGCAGTCAATGTTACATATATTCACTTTAGTCTTTAAGAGTACAATATCAACCTTGCAGAATAGCATATGAATTGTAATTTTGATAAGGAGAAAACAGAGCATTTGTCTGGAGCATGATTAGGGGACTGAAGGAAGGAGGAGTTCAAAAAAGCTTGCCGAAAAAAGCCCCAAACTTGTTATCTTTTCTGGAAAGCAGGACATAGGCAATAGCATCCTCTCATTGGAGCGAGAAATACGGAGACACTGTGCCACAAACTGCACTCCTTAATCCTTTCCTTTGTGTGGATCTTTTCTGATAGTATTTGTTCCTATACGTTTCCCAGTTTCCTTTAGTAGGAATGATTAATTTTCAAGCAAAATAATATTTAATTTGTTATTTACTAACATTTAATAATTTTTACTCTTCTGTAGTATTTTTATTATAATGTTACTGTAGGGGTATTCTCAGATTAAAATTTTGTGTGGTTTCCCTAATTACTGGTCTTTGAAAGTGTGTGCCCTTTTTGATTCTTATGTCCAGCTGGCTTTGAGATATGTTTTTTTCTGTTCCTTCCCTGTTGATGTTGTTTAACCCCAGCTGGCAACTAAGTACCACGCAGCTGCTCACTCACTACCTCCCTGGTGGGATGGGGGAGAGAATCTGAAGGGTAAAAGTGAGACAATTCATGGGTTGAGATAAAAACAGTTTAACAATTAAAAAGATTATAATAATAAATAATGATGATGATGTAAGGAAAAGAGGAGAAAAAAAATAAGAGAGGAAAAAAAAACCAAGAAAAGACACATGATGCAAATGAAAACAATTGCTCCCCACCAACCAACTGATGCCCAGCCAGTCCCTGAGCAGTGACCCCCTGCCAAACTCCACCCCCAGTTTTATTGCTTTTTATTGCTGAGCATGACATCATATGGTTTGGAATATCCCTTTGGTCACTTGGGGTCAGCTGTCCCAGCTGTGTCCTATCCCAACTTCTTGTAAATAATATAATAAATGCATATAACAACTTTGTTTTATCACACTCTGGTCAGATGTGTTGTGATCTCAACTGTTCAGGCCCCACCTTGGGTGCCAAAAAGAACTGTCATGGTTTAGCCCCAGCTGGCAACTAAGTACCACGCAGCTGCTCACTCACTACCTCCCTGGTGGGATGGGGGAGAGAATCTGAAGGGTAAAAGTGAGACAATTCATGGGTTGAGATAAAAACAGTTTAACAATTAAAAAGATTATAATAATAAATAATGATGATGATGTAAGGAAAAGAGGAGAAAAAAAATAAGAGAGGAAAAAAAAACCAAGAAAAGACACATGATGCAAATGAAAACAATTGCTCCCCACCAACCAACTGATGCCCAGCCAGTCCCTGAGCAGTGACCCCCTGCCAACCTCCACCCCCAGTTTTATTGCTTTTTATTGCTGAGCATGACATCATATGGTTTGGAATATCCCTTTGGTCACTTGGGGTCAGCTGTCCCAGCTGTGTCCTCTCCCAACTTCTTGGGCACCCCCAGTCTGCTCGCTGGTGGGGCAGTGTGAGGAGCAGAACAGCCCTTGGCTCTGTGCAAGCACTGCTCAGCAGGAGCAAAAAATCTCTATGTTATCAACGCTGTTTCCAGCACAAATCCAAAACACAGCCCCGTATGAGCTACTGCAAAGAAAACTAACTCTGTCACAGCCAAAACCAGTAGACCCATTGATTCACAAGGATTTAGTTCAAGTATTTGTATAGACAGTAATAGTAAGTATCCCTTCTGCGGCAGCAGTAGAGAAGCCTTGCTTCTATTTCAACCTTCTCTTCTCCCTTAGAGTTAGTTGGTGTTTAAGTGATCATCTTCAAATTGCCCGGCATCATTTTGACAGTGACGTCTTCACGGTAGAGTGAGAGAAATCTGTATCAAGTTCCAGTACCTTGGCTTTTGCCAAATACTGACAGATGTCTCAGCCATACCATGAATTCCATCTCTGTATGTATTTGTCATTACATGATAGTGGCACTTCTACATTCATCTAAGTTTTTCAACATCTCATCTCCTTTCCAGTCATGGGGATGTTAAATTAACAAAGGTCATGCTGAGTGATTTGATAATAGTTCATAATGAATGATGAATGGAGATGTTGTCTGGCTTTCCTTACTGCATCACATGAAACCGAATACAAAGTGTCTTAGATGATCCATACATATAATTTGTATGATTTAATAGCCAGATCTTTCCTGAGGTGTTAAAACTCTAACCTCTTTTTTCACTTAAAAATTGCACTACTCATCAAGACGAATGCTTTCTGTCTTGACTAGCTCTTGTTTATTCCAAGCATGTACCTTTTTAATAACATTAGTGAGCAAGAATCTACTGGAGCTGAAATCAAATTACAGCATAGGAAAAATCAAGTGTACGCTGATTTTCTTATTGCAAAGTCTGTCAGTGAACAACTTTAAAAATCCCGGTAAAGTTATTTTGCAGCTTCAGCTTAGTAAGAAGTGTCAGCTGTTCAAACAACAAGTTCTACTCCCTTTTTATTGTTTCAGTTAATCAGCTGTAATCAGTATAGTGGGATTTTCAGTAAGAGAGTATAGTGCTGTATTAGTGTAATTGCATGGGTTTAATCTTCATTGTGTTCCTTTTTAATTATTAAAATTAGCATTTTGTGTATTAATACTTCATAGGAGCAAGGGAAACTTATTGAAATAGAATGCCTGGAATGTGAATATGAAATAAAAAAAAATGGCACTAAAATTGTGACTTACACCAAAGGAGTTGTTGAGGTATGTTACTTAACATAAACTTTGAGAGAAAAGTGAAAGTTTTAATTTGTGAAACATGGAAAATTGCATTGGACTTGTGTATCTTAATTACATTATACTAATCAGGAATTATTTTAAACTTTATATTCTTACTAATTGGGCTGCCAAGAAGAAAATAGGGAAAAATAACTAGCAGTTATATATTTCTCCTTTATAGTCTTCTGTCTGACTACAAAGTTTCATAATATATTACTTTCCAACAGTAAAGATGGTAGCATTGAGACATGCAAGGGCAACACTGTCATTTTCATATTTTACATTTATGGGAGGTGTTTTCATAGAATTTCTTGAGTTGGAAGGGACTCAAAAGGATCATTGAGTCCAACTCAAGTATTATTGCCTGTTTGGGGCAATCTCATGCAAATTCTTATGTCAGAGAAATGCAGACTATTCCTGATAAATTGTCTCTCTGGGGAGGATTTTCTTAGATTTCCATAGTCATTTGACTCAGTTATAATTCAGACCATCAAAAGTAGAAGCCTAAATTGTCAATATTATCAATGGGATTAGATGCATGCCTACAATGAGCAATTTGGAACAGCTATTAGAGGTACCTAAAGTTCCTAAATGGAAAGTATGAATATGCTTCATGGAAATCGATAGCGTTAGTACATAAACCTACTCCTATCTATGAGTGTTCTCATTTCAGTGTTCAGAAATTCTATTCAACTTTTGGAAAGAAAAAAAAAAAAGTCATGAATTCCTCATAATATGAGGAATGAGCTATTAACACTGCTTAAATAAAAAATAGGTTATTTAGATATTTAGGTATTTCTAAATATTCTTACCACAGTGTATGCAGTTGGAGAGGGATTTTTGTTTGATTTTTTTATTTGTGGGGTTTTTTTAATCACCTCTAAAAAGAACTTAGTAATTAGTGTCTCTCTGTAACTGTAGGTAAGGATTTGCTTTTAGATTTAATAGGAACCAAGTTTAATTGACAGTATGGCAAATCCCATTCGTAATATTCTTTTGTCCTCTCCTACACTGTGTAGCTTAGTATAAAAAAAAAAATACTTCTGTTTATCATAAGAAAGGGGAATAGCTGACACACTTCTGCCTGAAATATGTAGTAGCAGCATGGAGTAGCTAAAGTTATCAATTAAGTTTTTTTTAAAAAAGAGGTTTTATTAAAGAAATTATTTTTTTTAAAGTTATTTAAAAGAAGTTTCTGAAGTCTGCTGGCTGAGGGACTGCTTTCTATTAGAAACAGCCCTAAGATTAAAATTTGGAGGAACATGTAAGAAGCTGTATTCATTAAATACAATATATGCTGATTATTTTTTCATTTGGGTAGGCTCGGCTGGAATTGATAAAAAATCTTGAATTAACCTTAAAACATGCAGTTCAACTGGGAGATCCTGATGTGATTCAGGTTGTTTGTACCACCCAGTGGAATCTCTGCTTACCACTACTACAATACAATTTGCATCAACATGTACGAAAGTCGTTGATGTCAGTTGCTGATGTCCTTGAAGAGATTGACAGGTAACTCTCTATGCTGTGTACTTTATTTTGTTACTATGAAAGATCTAATGACTGAGCATCAAACTCATTTGAAAGCTCAAGCTTTATGATGTTAAGTGTCTTTGAAAATTTTCCACTATGTCGTAATAAGCTAATGTCTGCGTATTGCTTGCATTTCCTCGTTAATCATTTGAATATAGGTCCCTTTCAGGCAAAATCTCACGCTGTTTACTGACCTATAGTAAATACTGAAATTTGTTAGATACTGAAAAAATACTATAGTTAATATTATGTGAGAAAATTCCAGAGCTGCAGTAAATGTGGGTAGATGTGTTGGAATGTGGTTTAGATTCTTGTATTAACATGACTTTTGTTGGTTAAAAACATATAATTAAAAAACTGCTTTTAGAAACCATCATGGCTTCTGTATTACATATCAAATAAAACACTTCTTGCAAGATACTATTTTTGTATTTTTGGCGATACTTCTTTTTAATTTAAAAACCTACTGCATTAAGAAAATGTGTCTTTTTTTATGTATATTCTACTGTTTGCTGTTATGCTGTACTTTAAGGTTAAGCACCTAAATAGCTTCACCTTTTTCATTAATTTGAGTGGAACAAGTAAACCTTAGTATTTGGTATTTAGTTAAGTTTGGACCTATACATAGGCTGACTAAGAACAAAGATCATAACTTTTGTAGTAGAGCTAGTTACAATCAACATAATCTGTCATTTGAGCAGCACAGTAGGTGGTTTCTGATAGAAGTGTTACAGAGGAAGGTGAAGAATATATTTTCATTGTTTTTAAAATGTAATTTTTAGTTGCATAAAGAGGAAACAGAAGCCTGAAGAAGCAAATATACACATGTATAAAAACACTATATTGTATTACTGTACTGTTATTCAAGCATTTCTTATGCTTTTCATATAAAGAGTGCAATATCAGCATATGTGACTGATATTTATATTAAATGTCAGTAATGAAAATTTTTCTCTAAAAGCTCACAGGTTAGGTTTTTGGGAGGTTAGAGGTTTGGCTTTTGTTATCCTTGTATTCTTAACAATCCAGTAGACTCAACCTCAGCTCTGAGGTGGTACTGTCACTAGAGATTGAATGAAGTCATTTGCCCCTATTAATTTGCCTGTCCTCATTTTTGTTTTGATTGTAGCATTGATTGTAACTACTTTGTCAGCAGTAAAAGGGCGATACTTGCTCTAATGTGGACATATATATTTCTTTGGTATGACATTTGACAGCCTCGAAGACCTTCCTTCTGTTCTATTTTTCATAACATTGCTTTCATTTATCTGGGTTTTTTTGTTTTAATTCCTGGAAATAATCTAAAGCAGCATGTCAAGCTCATAGCTGTCATGAACAGCTTCCTGAGGCAGATGATGGATAGGGAGCATAGTGAAACTGAGACTGGAGAACATGCAGTCTTCACTGAAAGCATGCTGACTTCATAGAGTGGTTTCAGCAACATCTGGGCAAAGACACTGCCTACAGTGAGCGTGTAGACCTATGCTGAGCCAAACCTTTAAAAGTGGTGAGCTAGTACAATCAGGGCTAGATTTTTAGAAATACTAGCTTCTATGTAATTGTTAAAAAACAGAGAGTGAACGTTTAGCAAAAGTGGCCGTTATCCATTACATTGTGCTCTCTCTGGGAGTTAAATACTTTTGAAAATCTGCCTAAGTGGTGACTTCAGTGTGGTTCTGAAAAAGACTTCTGCTAATACACAAAGATCAATTAGTCTACAAGATGTGTTGCTTCCTCATGGCTGTGTTTTCTCATGCCAGGTTAATGGAAGTAAAAGTTAATTTTCTAAGACATTTCATTAAAAAAGCATGACAGTAAAGATGAGAGACAAGTAAGTTAAAAAGGGAATATCCATTTTCAAACTGGAGTCACTTTTAATTATTGAGTTTCACTTTGGGGTAATTTTTAGGTCTAAGAATTTTAGTTTGCCTCATTTTAACAGTTTACATTTAAATTTGTATTCCTTAGCATGTTGGTTTTGTTGCGTTGCCAAGTTCATATGGAAATAGCTCGTATTGAAGAAGATGGGGATAGAATAGAGGCTGCTGTGGAACATTTACAAAAAGCTATACATCTAGACAACAGTGGGCAATATCAAGAACATCTAAGACTGACTTTTAACCGTCTTCATTTGTGCACTATGCTGTATAAGTCACCTGAGCGTCTAGAGGATCAGGCAGTAATGATGATTGAACAGGTAATCATGAAGAATAAGGTCAGTAGCTGAAGTAGGTTTGCTTGTTAAATTCTGGCAGAGGAAAGCCAGCTGTTTAGTAGACCTGCATATTAGTAGACCCATCATCAGCATGCTTTCAGCAAATTGGCATTGGCTGGTTGCCTTGAAAAACTCTCTGAGTTGTCTTGGTGGTGGTCATGCTGCTTCACACTCTGAAGATTGCGATAGAGGATTTTTTCCGGTTATGTTCAAAGCTTATTTCTTGGTGGGGGTGGGGAGAGAAGTTATTCATTAGCAAAAAAGAAGCCTATTCATAATTGTCAGCAATTAATATTTCATTGCATGGAACAGTGTTTTAATTAACGAGGGGAGCAGTGGCCAAATAGCTAAACATCCTAGCTGGCTTTGAGATAAATCAGTATTATGTCACACTTACAAATGACGCTAAATAATATAATCTAAAGTCACATTGTAGTCCTTGTCAAGAGTTACTGCATCTAATTCTGTGTGCCTCAGCACCTGAACAAAAATCATGTTGGCAACTGATTGTTAGTTGGCTAAAAGAAATTTCAGCTATACGCTATTTTGGGATATTCACAGAAATAAAGATGTGTTCACTGAACCTAAAATCAGTACTGGAAAGCTGCTGGTGAGTTGATATGTCTATTGTTAATACAAAGAAAAGTGAAGATTTTTTTTGTCTAGTTTTAATGCTTTTCCATGCAAGCTTAGTCTGTTTAAATGTTATTTTTAAAAAAGCATTTATAGCTCCTCTGACTTTGGCTAATTCTGAGTGGACTAGGAATTTTTTATATTTTGTAGCAGTTCCTAGTTATTGCATGACAGATGTGTTATTGTTGGTTTCTAAATAAATACTGTATTTAAGAAAGTATAACATGATGACAGGTTATACACTGAGGAATATACTATAAAGATTCATGAGGAGCATGGACAGTACTTTGTATTCAGTTATCTTTGATGTATTCATGTCAAAATCAACCAAAGTCCAACAGTCTTTTGCAAGAACAATAATACTGCAAAATGATGTGTAAGATATATAAACATACCCAGTTCCTGTAGGTATTTTTTTGGTAGTACCAAGTTCTATGATCTGCATTCTATTATGTTTAGTAAAAAAGATATAGAAATAGGAATATAATAAAAATTAACCTTATAACAGTTAGTTCTTTTCTTTATGTAGGCTAAAAGAGGAAAGCAGAAGGATAATATGAGGAATAAGAGGTTCCTTCTGGTAAATGCAGGTCTTGCACTAGCTCCTGATTCATTTCAGATAGTCTTTGACAGTGAAAATGAAGCTAAAGGTAACGTACCTATGTGTGACTAAAAGTTACTACATTTAATTTTGACTGCTTTGCACAGTCTTAAAAGGCGGACATAAAATCTAGTGGCAACATGTAGAGAATATTGCAATACAGGTGAAGGGATAGTTTTGCTGAATTCTGTGGCAGAGCTCGTATCAATTTCGTTGGGGATCTAAGATTTATATTATTATACTGGAAGAGGGAATGTTGTTATATTGCCCTCTGAATTCATCTGAATCTTACTGTTGTGCTGTAGTGGACTGTGTGTTGGGCTGTAATTTGATTTTCACTATGTGCAACTCCTGAATGTTCTTACCCAAGGTCAGTTTTAAGTGGTATGAAGTTTCGCCCCATAATATTCTGTGTTAATTACATACAAATATGTATTGGGTATTCGTTCTATTTTGTAATTGACTTTCTATTCTAATATCTTGCTTTTGAGAGATGGACTTTTGCAGAGATTGAGGGATGAATTCTGTATTTACTTTCTAAAATATGGATCATAAATAGACACGTTCATTATTCCACAAAGAGCTTCAGTTTGTGACTGTACAGCCTGTTGTTGAAGAAGAGTGGACCGGGAACAGATTTTCCAGATTGCTTGACCCGTTTTATCTTATCCTGATGATAAAGCAAGTGTGTGGCTAATTTAATTAACTCTCTAGTATACCCAGTGTACTCCTAGGATAGCGATTGTGCTGGAGGAAGGGAATGGCACAGAAGGAGTCCTGTGGCTTCTAAAGCAGCCTGTTCATGCCAGGGAAGGCCATGCAGTTCTCTCGTGCCATCTGTTCAGCCAGGCCAAAATGTTTGCCTTGCATAGTCTCATTTCAGACTTGATCACCTGATGACTTACAAGTAAGAGTGTTATTTACTGAATCAGCAATCCCACTTGGTGCAGTACATTTAACTACGTGAAAATTAGTTTGTTGGAAAACACTTTCATACATGATTTAGGGTGATGAAGTGCATCGTATTTGTGCAATGAAGAGAATTAAAAGCATGCAGGTATTTCTACTTGCTCTTGACTTTTGAGTTGACAGCTGTAAAAGTATATCCAGACTTCTTCAGAATACATCTTGCTACACATTAGCGTTCCAAGATAAGCCATTAAAATGAATGAGATTATCACATCACAATTATCACAATACTTTCAATCTGTTTGACACAACATTTTGTAAAATTTTGTTTCGCAAGATTTCAGTTGTTCCTGAGGCTGTGGTCCAATAATTTTTCTGTGTTGGTTATTTCTTTGTTTAATATTTTTGCCCAATATCATGTCGACTAACTAAAACAAAAATCAGTATTCTCAAATTAAGACAAAACAAAAAACTTTAATGTTGATTGAAAATGTGTTTGATTAGTAAGTGCTCTTAAAATTCAGCATGAATGTGAGCTTTACATATTACAACTCGACTGAGGCTGGTTAGAGCAACATATGTCCTGTCAGAAAAGAGGTGTACTTGAGATATTTGGAGGCTAAACAAGCATGAATCAGTTTTTGTATGGGACAACTATATCTGAAGATAGAGGAAAAACAGAATAGATGCTGGTGGGGTGTAGGGGTTTTTTTATGTTGGTTGGTTTTTGGAAAGCTTGAAGGACTGAAAAAAGGGCTGGATTTCAAGTGTTTCAGAAAGTAGTTATGCATATAATTGCATACCCTTCATGTGGATTGTTTCATTTCTAATACTTAAAAACTACCTTAAATTTTTTTTCTTTGCTAAGTTTCCTCAGGTAAAAGTAGGAGTCATATAAGCTACCTCTGTGCAAAAGCACAACATCATATTAAAAGCGTGGAGAAAGTTGATGAACATTTGAAACACTTAAATGAGAATGACAGAGAGAGGTAATTACTACAGACAAGAAGCATCTCTTTTATCTTGTGTAAAAGTCTCTAATGAGAAAGTTTCTTATTGCAGCTGTTGAGTTACTTGATGATACCTTGTAAGAGGCTGAATACTTCAGTCAGACCTGGCAAAGCATTTAGGCACGTGTTTATGTCTGAAAAGTTCCATTATGTTCACGTACTATGTGTAATTTTATTCTTTTGCTGTTTCTAATCTGCTGTCTCACATGCACACATAAACTCACCTATTCTATTGATATGAACTGCACACACAGAAGAACGAGCAGATTAAGGTTGGAAGACTGAATAACTTGGTGTGTAATTGAAACGTTGCTGAAGTGTCTTTTTAGGCCCTTGTACCACACAGAATCACAGAACCCCAGCCTGGTTTGGGTGGGCAGGGACCTCCCAGACCACCCAGTGCCACCCCTGCCATGGGCAGGGACACCCTCCACTAGCCCAGGTTGCCCAAAGCCCCATCCAACCTGGCCTTGAACACTGCCAGGGAGCCAGGGGCAGCCACAGCTTCTCTGGGCATCGCATGCTACAACTTTTTTGGTAAAGCAAATAAATAGTCCATACTAAGAGTCAGAAAGATTAATCTGTAGGAAAATCACAGGTGTTGTTTTGACTGTATGTCACTTTATCATTCTTTATTTAAAAGGAGGCATTTCTTCTTTTTTTGCTGCACTAAAAATTCCTGTGATGAAGTTTAAACCAAGTTGTTTTCTAAAAAATTCTAAATACAAACCTATTTTCTACTTACTTTGAAATTCTCAGCATCAGTTTTGAAATATTTAGTGTAGTTTATTTTACAAGAGATATAATTAGAGGTGTCACATTTTGAAATTTCAGTATAGTTACTATTCAAAACAAGAATTTTGTCCCACTCCTGATATGTTGAGGGGATTTTTTTGTAATTAATAAAGTACGAGTGTTATGTTTGCTACTGATAGTAAGTCTTCCATTTATTAATTTTTATTAGATTTAAAATTTTATTTATGGTGGCCATCATTGTTGCAGTGACTTTTTGTTGATCTTGAACTGTGGGAGATAATCCTGCTTATAGAGTAATTTAATGAATGCTTTTTCTTTGGTAGAATTATACTTTGGGCAGATTTGGCAAAAGTTGCACGTAAACAAGAAGTATGGGATGTCTGCCGCGCAGCATGCAGATTTTGTATCTTGTATGATGATACTTTGTTTAGGAAGGTAACAAAGCCTAAAAAAAGTAAGTGAACAAAGTATTTTGAATGTTGTCAGAGGAACTTTTTCCTCATTTGTTAGAGTTACTTGAAGGAGTCGGCCAATATTATTATTTTCTTCCCTCCTATTCCCAAAATTCCCTGAGAGTCTTGTCTGTCACTGCATGTTGGCGTACATGGAATACTCTTTCTACCTCTGAATCTCTAAATCAGTCAATACATTTTTCTGTTGAAACCATACTTTGCCTTCAGAAGTGTTTCACCAGCTGAACGAAAATGGATTATCAGTCACTCTGTATGAGGCTCACGTGGTAACATTTTTTACCCTTCGTTCCCTTATTAGTGGTTCCTCTGAGGTATTGGACATTGACGGTGCCTTGTTCCTTGAGAGTTTGCTGAAAACCTACTACACATGTTAAGAGAGTTCTCAGCTCAGGGAAACAGCGCTTTCAAACCACTAGCTGCTCGCTGACTTTTACGTATCTGTGTTAAAGGGTTTTTTTGCCTGGGAGTTCATAAAACTCACCTTTAAAAATAGATGAAATTCTTGTACACGCCCTGTTGGCTGGTATTTTTTTTCTCTAGCCAATGTTAACTGAACCTTTTCCACATTTTTTCTCTAGATTGTTTCCAAGTTCCACTTTAATAGGGCATTAATTTACCTGTTTTCTTACACAAAGTTTGCATCTCCAGACTAGCCGTTTTTTATCTTTCATCTCTTTTCCAAACCAAAGGGAAAAATAATTTTAAAAAAAAACCACATCATTAATAGGAATTGGTATGTTCTCTTTCACAAGTTTTACATGTCCAGTGTAAAGGTGTCTTTCTCATACTCTGAGTGTTTACAAGGCTTTCTAATTCTATCTGTGTCAGTGTGAACACTTTTCCTGGGTAGGCAGGAGATCAAGACGCTTTTCAACTCTGTTCAGAAGTGTTTCAAGTGGTTCAATCAAAGTTTGTTACAAAGTTGGTCAATGCTTTCCGAGGTAGAACTTCACTAGAAATCAAACAGTAACTGTGGCCTCGCTGAAAGTCTCTGTTCTCAAGACCTTCTGGAAACCCATTCATACTCCCATTGAGTGCCGCGTGTTTCTGTAAACACGAAGGAAATGTTGCTGCGTTTCGTGGAGCAGCTGAGGTAATCTCTTCTGAGCAGTTTCCAACTCTGGGGATACTACTTGTTGTTAAATGAAAGGTGAATAAGCTTTTAGATACTGAAGACGGGAAGAGAAATTTATGATTGACTGGAGTTCTCTGAGAACTGTTGGCACTGTTCATTTTCATGTTCCACTTAATTTTTCTTTATTACTACTAATTCTAGTATTAGTGCATGAAAGGTTGTCTTTATGTAGATATCATATTGAGGATACAGCAAAGATAATTGTTGCAGTGTGAAGACCCTCTACAGAGACTTGCTGGGTTGTCAGATGTGAATAAAAGCAAATAATTCAAGACCCTCTAGAGTTACACAAAAAGAACGTACCAGTTCCTAGTAATGATGCTTTTGGTGTGTGGTTGCCCTGAGTTGCTGATAAGTGCTTCTTTTTCCCTTTAGTTTGGAAAAGAAATGAAAGGTGAAACATTGCTATCCTGGAGAAAGTAAATACATGTGATTGGTCTGGGAACCAGGAGCAATCCAGTCAAATTATCAGACTGAAGGTTTTAAGAAAACAAAAACATTAATTTTTGACAGAATTTAAACTGTTGTTTTACAAAATCAATTATGGTTTAAAAAATTAGACAAGGACTAAAAAGTTAGATTTATCGAAGAGTATTGAACTTGATGGGTTGAACAGAACCTCTGGTTCAGAAGATTGCTTGGATGCAGATTCTGAAAAGCTGTGAAGATGGGCTGGGAAAAAAAAGTAGCTTTGTGTATCCTATTTCTTATGCTTTTCCTCAAACACCCACAATTGCCCAACAATGTAGAGGGAACCCACTGTGATAGCTTTTATGTTCTTACTTTGTGTTTGTATAAATAATCTTGGTCCTTACTCTTCATTATTAAAGCAAAGAAATATAGTGCTATTTTTCTCTTTATTGATGTGTATGTTGCCAGAAAGTCAACCCCATCCATGATTTAAACACACTGAGATTTTAGCCACTACATAATGTCCAGTGCTCCACTTCCACTGAAGCCATAAAATTGAACTAGAGGCCATGGTTTATATTAATATAATTTCAGTATGAATGTTATGCAGCAAGTTATTTGCTGCAAATATTGAAGTTTATGCACAAATGCAGCAAAATCACAGGTAACCAATACCTCAGCACTGCTTGAGAAGAACAGGTTTTGAGTGCAATAAATTGTACTGATGAAAAAAGAAATTGAGTGAAATAATTTTGAATCTGTACTTGTCAGCTCTTTCTTGTGGATTTAAAAATGTGTAGGGATTTTTAAATTTTAAAATTAAGATTTTTTTTTTCTGATTTACATGGTAATAATAATGGATTTATTTGTTTCTTTGTTTGTTTTTAGCACAGAAGAAGAAAGCTAGTACAGCTATGATGGATGATGATCAAGGTGACAGCTTACCAGGAGAATCATTACTACATGCTAAATCCTTCTCTTTTGAGAAAGATTTACTCAGAATATTAGCAGAAATAAGATTCATTAATGCAGAGGTAAATAAATTACACAGCTGTTATTCACATTTGTTTCATTTAGCTCTGTTTTATGTATTATTTTATGTATAAATCTTAAAGCACTGGAATTTTGAGTTTAATTATTGTCTATGTCCACAGGAACTAAAGAAGTAGTTTCAAGAAACATCTTTATCAATATACTGTGTGAAAGTAACTATAGCAATTGTTTCACTGCAGGTGGTGATAACACATTTTTACAAGGGATTCAATTGTAAATGTTTAACATGTGAAATTAGATGTCTAGAACCTTAAAGTTCCAGCATAATTAATTTATTTTTTTTCTTAATGAAATTACTTAGTAAAATTATCTGTAGGTAATTGGAAGATTGTGTGGTATCTTCCATTGTATTTCGTATAGTTGTACATGCCTGTATAACATCTGAAAAAGCATTTTGTATTTTTTAATTTTTGAAGAGGTAACAACACTAATACTAAGTCACAGTCTATTTTCACAATGGTAACCTGCATAGAAAATTTACTTCTCTGTATCTTTCTAGGCAACTGTTCATTTATTAAGATTGCAGGGAATTGAACTGAATGATCACGCTGTACCTCCACAAGATAAAAGCCAGTATCATCCAGGATATGTTTCATGTCTTCCTGAAAGTGATCCAGAATGGAAAACATACAGGTACTTTTCTTTAATACATAACAAGACCTAGGAACTCTAACAGAATGTTGTTACCACACACAGATGATAATTGCAAAAGTTATTTCTTCTTAGTAAAATTCATTGTCACCAGATGCTTCATATTTTTAGGTAGTCTTGGTACTGGGAAAAGGAAAAGAATCTAAAAAAAATGGTTTGAAATAATTTTTCTTAAGTTTGCTTTCATTCTGGAGTGTGAATTTTAAAGTTCATTTAACATTTATTTCTCTGAAACTAGAAGCTAATATCCCAACCTTCAAAACTATTCTATTAACATTTAGACCGTGAAATTCTATATTAAAAAATATTTTTCCCCAAATAAAAAAACTCTTCGTCTTGCTTTATAGCTCCTATAACTATAATGATGTCTGAATACGTGAATACATACAATGAATTACTGCAGTTTTCAAAACTAGTCTGTTCTATCCAATCAACTGAAATGAATAAGGGAGAGTAGAACATAGTAAGTATCGGTCTCACACGATTATTTCTTGAGAAGGGGGACAATTCTGAAGATGATACTTAAATTATCTTCTTTTCATGCTTATACTGATATTAGCCTTATTGTGACAGTGGTCATGTCCTGATAGAGTAGGATGTCAGAGTTGTGTCCCTAAGTCCGTTCATTAAATCTGAAGATTAAGTAAAGTTTCTCACACTGTCTGCTTGCAAATGTTCAGTAAAACAGGAAAAAGTATAAACTGATCGGAACCAAGGGACAATGATGATGAGGATTCTGTTCCAAAATTTGCTACTAAGCTGTTTTTCAGTTTACCCTATTAGAAGGGTAAACTTCCTATTAGAAGTCATAGGAAATAAGCACTTTGGTCTACTGGGTCCTGTACCACTGTTGACATAGTAATACCGTGTCAGTTTGTGCTTTTGGTTTTGTGACTTAACCATGGCCACTCTGTATAGTCATCCAAGACTGCATTTTTAATATTGCTTTTTCTAAGTAATGGTACATCGTGATAACTAAGAAAAAAAATAATAAAGCTATTGAAAGAAAGTTACTGCATAGACCATGAAAAAGATGTTATTCTATTAAAAATGAATTTAGCATTTCAAACATCTGGAGATATCTTTGAGTGCAAGAACACATTAAGTTGTTAAGTGAGAAAGATGCCTCCTTAACACTTGAGTGGAATGCCTTACTTGTATCTGTATTCGAGTAGAGCCCTGTCATGGGTATTTAATGATTTCTAGCGCTGATATGTGGATTCACACACACATTTCAAAAAAACATGTGGATGAAGCTTGAACTATAGCCACTATTTTTTAAGCTAATAGCATTTGATTGTCAGAGACTACTCATTTTATGTTGAAACTATATGATACTATATTAATTATGTTAATTCCTTTCCTGAGTCATCATCTCATCAAAATAAAATATAAGTTAATGGATGAAGAATTAATAAATGCAACTGAAAAGTAATTAAAAATTTGTTTTTGTTGTTGTTTGAGATGTGCTACTGCATATTTGACCTTATGATATTATTACTTTTAGTGTTGAAGTTTTGGAATAACGGCTTCTTTATGCTAATTTTATAGTTTATGGATAGACTACTTATCTCAGTATGCTATGGAAAACTTCCAACGTGCAGCTGAAATAGGAGAAGAATTGAATGAAGCCTGGATTGTTCACAATGCTGTGGTGTATATCTTAAACTACAATAGACATCTTATCTCTTCAGGAAGACAGAGGGAAATTATTGAGTATCTGCAGACTCTTCTTGGAGCCATCAAGACTGTTGGGCACAATGGGTAAATTTAGATGTTTGGTTATGAACATGCTCTTTTTTTCTAAAATGGAAAAATATTTTTACAAATGTTGTAAATCGCATTGTGCTGTGAAAGACTTATTTCTGGCTTTTATTAGTAGTAGAAGGACTTTGGTATATACAGAGTAGTTCAGAAGATAAATTTAATTTTGTGGTGTGAAAATGACTTTTTAATCCTTTCTATTTGTTCTTTGTTACTATTCACTATAAGCCATAATAACTTTAGACTAAGCAGTATTAATTTCTCTTCATTGTGGAATAGCAACATGTGCCTGTGAAATAGCATTCTGTTAAGCTAGTCAGAATGAACCAGGAAGATTTTCTTAGGCTTTGAGTTTGCAGGACAGCTTGGAATGTGTTTGCTTGCAGTCAGTTGCTCTGAAGTTGAATTATATTGTAATTACAGTTCATTGTAAATATTTCTAATCAGAGTAAGTTGGCTACTGCTGGTTTTGAAATAGAAAAGAAAAGAATAAAAAGAAAAATAAAGGAATGGTGCACATTAATAGACCATGAAAATGGGACTATGTATTTCACAGTGGTTTAGAGAAATCCTGTTCTGTAGTAAATGCAATAGGAGAACGACTGACTATGACAGAGGAGGTGCTCAAGTCAAAGTCTGACTGTGGGACAAAATCCTAGAAATTTTAGCACATTGTTGACAGTGACCTCAGCACTAGACAAACTGTTGGGACCAGCAGCAAAGGCAGCACTTTTAGCAGTATTGGAGAACAAAGTCTAAAGTGCATTTTCTGCAGAGATGAAGACTGCCAATACCTGCTTATTAATTCTGATAATTATATTCGCACATATCAGCAATAATCTGAGTCATAATTCAATTTATTAAATTTGTATTTTCTTAAACAAAAAAAAAGGTAATTCCAGCTCAGCAGTTGATTTGCATGAATAGTAATACAGTGTAATAAATAAATGGTTTTATGTGAGGGGTTTGGCTTAGGTTAATTTTTTTTTAGGAAATAAGTAGTTATTCATTTTATGCATAGCAGCCCACTAATAAAAAATATTATATTTTACATATGTTTGTCTGACATAAATATGATTTTTTTTTCCTGTGAGGAAATAGAAGCTTTAATTATAGAAAGAGCTGAAAAAATATGATGTAAACTGTGGAAGTTGGTTGTGGTTTTTTGTTCATTTACTTGACAGTACTAAACTTTATTACTTTCCTTTTATATCTGTTGCAGTATTGACTTCTGATTTTTGTTTTCGTCTACAGAAGTACTGTGATTTTATTGATGTTATGTAATGCTTTAGCTCGTGGCTTAATTCTTTGTTGGATTCCAAAGCCAAAGCTTGCTGAGAAGAAAAATAAAGATGCAGCAACAGACAGCAGCAGAAAAGCTGCAGCAAAGAAACATGAAAAAGCAAATGTTGTCCAGTCTGTTTCAGTAGATCCCAGAGGACTTCCTGATATCAAAGCTGCCTTAGAGGTACAAGGCCCTCATTTTTTTGTAGTCTTTTTTGGTCTGCTCTTATATATTACAGTTCATATAAACTAAATTGTAGAAATTTTTGCAATAAATAAGTTACCATCTTTTACAGTTCCTGCCACCACAGATCTTCTGCAAATGCACGCTGAAGTTCGTTACCGACTGGGGCTGAGGACTGTAACTTCTATTTGCTACATAGATTGACTTAATGGGGATGTTGTTAGGCTTAGAGAAGCAATAATTTTAAAAAAACTAATGGATGGCATGTTCCATACAAAGAGCTTTCCACATTTTCTTGTGTTTCGGTCTTTTTTTTTCTTCTTGGTGTTTAGATTTGTGAATTTGCCCTAAATGTGACAACTGGAACCATGCCTAATGAAACAGTACCTATTGCTGCACAACAACAGGTCATCGCTACGTGGGTGAAAGCAAAACAGTTAATTCAGCAGCAGATTGGACATAAACTTGGGACTGAGGAGGTATTATTTTTCTGAAATCCTGCATAATGTTGAAACTTTTATTTGAAAAATTAAAATTAAATTCATAAATTCATTTAATAAGGACTGAAGTTATCAAGGTGTATTTTCTTCTATATATTTGAATACAATGTGTAAATAAATTTTGACTGTAGTTCCCGTAAATCTTTACAGAATATAGCAAATTTTTCACATTGGGCATAGCTGTGAGTATATTTCTTAACTCTGCCTTCTGTTTTTAGCTCCCAACAATAATTATGGTGATGTTTGTCATACAATGACTGTATAACAGAGTTGGGTTTGAATTAATACATTTAATATAATAAAATGGCTACATTAAAAATGTTAAGGAAAATCAGCTATATTTATATCAACATTTAATATAGTCTCTTTATATATGGAAAATGGACCTAGTAAGTTGGAAATTAATATTTTATTCCTATCTCTTTATTTTATTATGTCTATAAAACCGGAATCACTTAGTGATATATAGAATTTATTGTATTGTTGCTGTGTTTTTTTAATGTTGAAACTGTTGTAGTTTAGTGTTCACAATGTTAATTAAAAATAAATAAATACATAAAATCCCTCATTTTAAGGACACAATAAGGAGACGAATACTTGCTTAATGCAAATTGAGGTTTTCAAACGTAGTTGTTATTACCTTGTCATCTTAATTAATGTCGTTAATAATGTTTAGTTGCAAAAAAAATCTGTTAATGTGAATTTTTTATTTCTGCTTAGAATAATGATGAAGCACAAAATCCTATGGCAAGAATTCTTGTTGGTCTAGAAATGTATTCATGTAATGGCTTGGGTCTCATGGATTTCGCTGTTCCTAGCTTATCTCAGGTATTTAGTTGCATGCTCTCAAAATTTAAGTAATTGCATAGTATAAATGTGATTTCAGTTTTGGATGGAGGCAAAATTAGTTTTGAAACTGTTATTGTACCTTTATTTCCTTTAAAACTTTCCAAGAGATTGAATAGTTAGAACAAGTAGAAAATTTTTGTGACTGAGTATTTTCATTTATCCAAAAAACAGATGGCAGTAGAATACCAGTATTAGAATTATTCCCATGTTGCTCTAACAGATTATTTCCATACCCATCAGATGAGTATAAAGGGTTCAGATGAATTCTATACAGAACCATGCTTCTGACCTTTCAATTTTGTGGAGAAGAGAAAACTTTATAGAATAGGCTGTAAAAGATCTTTATGATCACCAAGTCCAAATGTTACCCCAGCACTGCCAAGCCCCTCACTAAGCCATGTCCCCAAGCACCACATCTACACGGCTGTTAAATCCCTCCAGGGATGGGGACTCCACCACTGCCCTGGGCAGCCTGTTCCAGGGACTGACAACCCTTTGGGGGAAGACACGTTTCCTCACCTCCAGTATAAACCTCCCCTGACACAACTTGAGGCCGTTTCCTCTTGTCCTATCACTTGTTCCTTGGGAGAAGAGACCGACCCCCACCTGGCCACAACCTCCTTTCAAGGAGTTGTAGAGAGGTGTATTTTAGTGTTTGTATTGGAAGTATTAAGAATTTCAACAGAAAACTTCATGTTATAGTGAATTTACTTTTGGCAGCTGCAAGGTAGTACACAACTACAATTTGTTGCTATTTAAAGAATGGCTTTTTGATGAGTCTTACATAAGGAATAGTTCCTTCAAGTGCTTGCTTTTGATCAGTCTTCTATGATAACTAGTGCTGAATAGTGCCACACTTCTCCTGAGATCCTGTTGGTTACCAGGCTATTCCAGAGGAGTAAAGGTGGTGTAGAAAGGTTTATACTTTGTATTTTCAAAACAGTGAGTTGTAGTCTTACCTGTTTGATTACCACATTTATAATTTCTACCTCTTGTAAGGAGCTTTCTTAAAGGACTAAGATTTCCCCATTTAGCTAGGAATCTGGTGAAATTGTCTAACACTTTAATAGAAATCGTCTTCTTTCTAAAGACTAGGATCTGGGTCACTGTAAATATATAGGTATCTAATTCTAGTTGCTCTACAGATTTATGCTAAATATTATGAGTTAGCTCTAGCTATTACTACAGTGACTTAGTTTTGGAGAGCAGTATTGTAGTATCCTCATTTTGACCAATTCATTATATTTGTGTGTGTATATATACATCTATCTATCTCCCGTTATCTTAAAAAGATATAACTTTCTGACTGACACATGCAAAAGCAAGGAAGGTGTTTAGATCCTATAATGAAACTATATATGTTGTTGTAAAACCAGTTCTATCTCCCGTTCTTACATTTGGCTTAACTAAAATGGGCTCTGAATTTTGGAAGTCGTGTTCCACTGATTTTCAGAAGAGGACCAAAGACATATAATGAGTCCTGGCAGATACTGCTGGTCAAAAGGCATGCACGCTTACAGCTGGATTTACGTACACTATTATGATACTTACTTAAGGGTGAATGATGCTTCTCTATTGTATATCTTAATTGTTCTTGTAACTCTTTAGTTTTCTATATTGTTTTATCATGTACTTGTTCCATGTCCAGGTGGGTTGTATGGAAGGCCAGCTGTAAGCGTGTAAGTGCTGTAGAAAAGAGCATGATAAAAACATGAGATTTAAACTCTGTTTTTTCCCCTTCTTTTTCTCCCCCCCCCAGTTAGTGAAATTGGCTTTAGAATGCAGTTGGTCAGATTCCTTAGTGGAATTGCAGACACTGACACGACTTACATATTTTGCATATGTATCACATGACTTTGAAATAGTGATGACTTGTTCCAAAAGAATCTTGCAATCGGATGAGAAGTTTATCCACAATAGAGATACTAAGGAATATGAAATGTAAGTACGTGGAATTTTGCATGATCCTGTGGTATGCTTGAACTAAGTTTTGAAGAAAGAGTATATCAGTTAAATGCATCAGATCACATAATCAAAAGTGAATCAATCTTTTTTTACAAAGAAATTGTACAGTTAGAGGTGAAAGCGAAATTTTCCTACTTCTGCTGATTCTGTCATTACCAGTTACTTAAGTACTGCAGATGATGTTTTAACTCTGCAGTGTAGCCTGGGTAAAAGGCAGTGTGAGATCCAGATTGGGGCTGGACTCAGTTCAAGAAGATATATGAATTTTATTAATTATTTTATTATTTTATTATTGAGTCACCAAGTGACTCAACCGGTCATGTAGACGTGCGTTTGAGCATTGCTTTTCTGAAATGCTCTCTGTAATCATGGTCTTTTCACACTTTTATGATTTCCAAGCAGAAAGTAGCTTATTCTAGTTCGTTTGCTGATGCTGAGCTGGCTGTAATACACAAAGGGTCTACACAGTTTGTGGAACAAGATGGAGATGTGAGTGACAATAGGCGATAGCAGCTACTGTATTCCAAGCTCTGGTGTCAGGCAGTCTTTATGGTCCTTATTGCCACCTATGGATATGGGTGCAATAGGAATGTGACTCATTTCTTTAAAAGCCCAGTGTCTTACTTAACTGATAATTTAAAACTTTGATTTCAAAAGAAAAAAGGAAGAAAAAAAAAAAAAAAAGAGGTTTCATATATAAATGGATCTGTTGGTGAAGTCCTTTATTATAAAATGGTGATACCCTTCGATCCTTCTATTTTTTTATATGATTTCCTCCAAAAACAGAATGTAATTTTATCAAAAGGAATCAACTCCATTCAGTAACAATTTGTTGTAATTTGGGAAGTTTGAGGTAAACATGTGAAACACTTTGAATATAATTTATTGTTCATTTTTTCTCTCTGAGAAGTAATTTCTCTTTCAAAAAAAATATTCTACTCTTTGAAATTAATGGTGGTTTGCTACATGGGGAAAACATGTAAAACCAAATAAGATATCTTAATATGAAATATATAGTTTCAGAACATTATAGAAATTGAGAAAATACTTGCTGCATATCTAGCAATTTGCAAACTAGTGAATGAGAAAATGTTTGATTCTTTGACAAAGAAACGTAGTCATGGATTGTCAATGCTGTATCCGGAGAAATGGAAACAGCATTGGGAAACTTAGTTGTCTTATGGTAAAACACAGCTTCAGGACAAAGAAGGGTTAAGTATTTATTTTTAACTTCTTGTGGTGGTTAACTTGTACTGTAGAACACTAGTGTCCTCTTGTGGACACAAATTATAACTGTATGATAGTTCTCACCACGGGGTAGGAACTAGGCCAACTAGAATGTCTGCGTTTCTGTATCTGGTTGCATATTGTAACTAAGATTAAAAAAAAAATTGTGCAAAATGTATTACTTCTTTTCTTACAAAATCACTATTAGCCAAAGATACCAGATTTATTTACTTATTTATTTTTAACTGATTAGCTGCTGGGACTGACATTACATTCTTTTCTTTTGAACATCATGGAATATGATCCGAATCAATTTTTCCAGAGCCCTGTGCATACTTTACCAGACATAAATGCGACCAATTCTAAAAGAAAGTATCAAAAGTTGTCTAATTTTTTCTGTTTCTGTTTTTAATTGCTTGCTATGTAAGTTTGACTTTGGACTAATAGTTTGTTTGATGTACAATAGTGAATAATGGGGAGAAAACCCCAGATCTATTTTCTCCTCTCGCTAAATGTAGATAATATTTTTTTTACCTGATTTCACAGTTATTTTAGAACTGTGAAAAAGATATTTTATTTCTAATGCCTTTTTGCAAAATGTCCAGTTTTTCAAATATTTTCTGATTTTAAAAGAAAAGCCAGTAGAAGCATTTGCAACTTCCAAAGCTAGGGACATCTATTTAGTAACAACTTGAAAGCACCATTGATAGGAACTGCTGTGTGCTTAGACTATAAGACTAGCACTTCTTGAATTATTTGCCTTTATTCAGGCCTGGTAACAGAGTGAGACAAGAAATGTTAAGCACTACTGCCTGTATACAAGGAAGGACTATAATGGAAAATTTGTCTGGAAGAAAACATGTGCGTGTAGCAGCATCAAAAGCCTTTGTTCAGAGTGCCAGGTATGTTTTATTCTGAGATGACTAATATAAAACAGACCTAAAATTTGATTTATGGATTTTAGGATCAACATATTATCTGTCAAGACTGATAAAAATCCAAATAGTTGTCAGTTAAAATGCTTAACAAAGGATTTGACAGATTTTTACAGTTCAGTAAATTTATCAAGTACCGTATCTTCCACATAGCTGGTCTTGTAATGTCGTAGGATCCTAGGAAAATCTGGTTGGAAGGGGCCTCAGAAAGGCTCTAGTCCAAACTCCTGCTCAAAGCAGGTCCAGCCCAGGACTTTATCCAGTCTGGTCTTGAAAACCTTCAGGAATGGAGACTGCACAACCTCTGTGAGTAACCTGCTCCACTGCATGACTGTACTCATGGGGAAAAGTTTCTGCTTATATCCACTATGAACCTTTCTTATTTCAACTTGTGCCCGTTCTCACTTGTCCTCCCATCCACTATGAAGAGCCTGACTGCTGCTGCTTCTCAATAACTTTGTTAGGTTATTAAGAAACTTCTCCTCGTTAGGCCCCCCAATGCCAACTCTTCATGCTGAATTAGCCCTGTACTGTCAGCCTCTCCTCTCAAGGCAAGTGCTCCAGTGCCTGAATCATCTTGGTGGCCCTCCACTAAGCTCGTTCCAGTTTGTCCATGTCTGACATGTGTTGGGTGGCCTAGAACTGGATGCAGTAGTCTAGATGTGGTCTAAAGAGTGCTGACTAGAGGGTGATAATCAACAGGAACAGACAACAGATTGAGGGAATTAATACAGTCCAGAATGCTGCTGACTGTTGTTGCCAGAGCACACTGCTGGCTGGTTTTCAGCTTGCTGTCCACAAAAACCCCCACATCCTTTTCAGCAGAGCTACTCCTCAGCCAGTTAATCCTCAGCTTCTACTGTGGCAGAGCATCATATTAATATTGTGAACTGTATGTCATGAACCCAAAGTGGAAAGATTGCTTTAACTAATGAATAAGCAGGAGAAGGTGATATACATGGATGATGAATGACTTTGGTATGAATTCTTTGCTATTTGGAAGAAATAAATTAATGAGCAAAAGTAGGCAATTAGAACTCTTAGAAAATGAACATGTGATGGCTGATGTGAGGTTGTTAACATAATACTTTTTTCCTTCCATTGGTCATTAAAAAGGCTGATGAATGAAGTTAGACTAGCCAGTGTAACAGAACTCTAAGGTGATGTCATGTTGCAGGTGAATTTGTATTATTTTAAATTTGCGTGGTATAACAAGCACTTTTTCAGGAAGGACTGAGCTTATATATGTAATTCCACACATTCCAAAAGGGAGACAGAAAGTAGTGAGCAAATCTAGGCCTTAGTAAGTCTAGTGTTAAGACATAAGGTTTGTGAGCATATGGACTCTAATCATGAAGCTATGGGAGAAAATGGAAAAGATCGCCAGATTCCCAACCTACTTTTTTAAAAATAGTAAAACTTTTCAATGGGTGATTGTTTAATACCAATCCATAACTTTTAGCTACATTCTAAAGCTTTTGCTCACTTATATGAGTACTGTGTTGTATCACAATCTGGAGTATTATTAAATTTTATTCATACAAAGTAACATTTGCATGGAATGTGCTCAAAACAACTTGAATGCAGCTAGAGGCATTTGGGGTATATTCTTATGTTACAGTGGTACTGTACTATGCAAAATCCATAACATTTTAATAATTATTTTGTTCTATTTTTTAATGTTTTAAAAATGAGAAATTGACATAATAGGAAGCCGAAAAAAGTAGATTATTCCAATGAGAACATCTTGAGTAGTTTTCTACTATTTTTTAGTGAAAGGTCTTGAGCTAAGATTTCACAGAAATACAGTAAAACCATCAATATGTTACTTGTTTATTGCTACTTCTGCTGAATGTGTGAAGGTGTTTTGTATAAAAAAAATTGAAAGTATCTTTTGTATGAAGCTTGTGCTAACCCCTCATTGCTGATATTATATATGGTGGTGCCTAGATCAGGTAAACCTAGATGTTTCTCGAAGTAAAATCCTTTATTTTGGCTAGAGTGTGATTGTTTTCCTTCATTAAGCCGTACTTCACTTTCTTCAGGTACGCAGGTGAAGCCAGAAATTATTCCCTTGTAATGTTCGCAGCTAGACACTTTTGGAATACGTGTTTACCTTTGCTAGGTTCTCCACGTGACAGAGAGCAGTTTAAAGAACCTACTGAAATAATTCTTCAGAATATAATTAAAGCAGAATCTAAAGATAAACAGGTAAGAATATCTAATAGGTATTGTTAATTGTGCTTGTGTTTAGTGATTGGTACTGATGATAAAGAAAAATTTTGGTTTGCTCTGAAGCTCTGGGTGCATACTTCAAGATACCTTTTCTAAGAGGGGAAAGTGACTTATTTGTCATAAACACATACATCGTTTCTTAAATGCTTTCACATAGCACACATTCACACATACAGGGAATCACATACTCCTTTTTTCCATTTGGTGGTGGTTCTGGTTTTAGTCAACTGTCAGACTTGTGACAGTTTTCTTCAACATAATTTACTATCTGAAGGGCTGTAGCATTTCACTTTGTGAAGCTTACAAAAGGGAATATTTAGAAAATATTGAAAAGAATATCCAGAAAAAACCCTGTCACTTCCAGGAGTATGATAATAGACCTTAAAACACAAACTCAGGAAAAAAAAAGTGACTAAAGTTCCCCACATCTGCAGATTCAAATTTCTTTTCTTCCTGCAAAAAGGAATTTTTACTTTGCATATTTTCAGGTTTTTAACAGACTAGCACTTTAGCAGTAGGAAGGAGTTATAATTCAAACTATGCTGGGAGTCAGTGATAAAACTAAATACTGGTTGATTATGAACAGCATGTGTAAACTGAAGAAGTCATCCGTATGAAACAATACGTAGGTGATGCATATCATGTAACACATCCCACCATATGAAATTTCTTCTGCACACTGAAACCTCTCTACACATTTACAACTTTTCTTACTTCAAAATTCCCCAGAGCTGATCCATTTCTCTGTCTAGATTTGATTTGCATGTCAGTTATTCTGATGTGAGTTTTCCTGTGCATTTTCATGGGCACAATTTCAATCAGAGCTTGAAGGGTTTATTAATAACTTATATTCAAGCTCAGTGGTGCCAATGTGGGTCTGCATCTGAGGTCATCAAGCAATGTAGTACAAAAATAGAAATCTTAATTCTGATTTCTCCTAAAGCCATGTATAAATCACAAGTAATCAGAGGTGGTGACTAGTCTGCTTGATTCTGTGATGAGTGCACTGTGTTCTTGGAAGCACAGTGAAGATTGCAAACTAATGGAACTTTGACAGTGTTTGGATATATAACAGTAACTGTCCACAGGCACAGTTCTAAAGGTTTAGTTATTTGCTGAGATGATATATTTAAAAACAAAAGTAATACTTCATTATGTATGTATAGTTAACTCACTACCACAGTGTATTTTCAGAGTGAACCCTTAATAAGCTGTATTAAAAAGCAAGACATTAATGTAGATAATGAAAGTACACAGTTATAGTTACATAGACTTTTAATGTCTGAAAATGTTAGTAATTCTTGTGAGTTAGACTATATAGTAATTTCTGATATTAATTACAAAAAAGTATTTCCTACAAACAGAGCATTCTATATTTTATTATTTCTGGAGTTACTGAATTATTTTTTTATATACTGTAGTAACCACTGTAAGAGGCAGGAACTGGTCTCTTGTGATCCTTGAGCAGCATAACTAAGCAATTTTTGAATGCCATCACATCTGGAGAAGCATATACCAGAAGATAACTTTTAGTTTAGTTCAGCAAGGCAATGGTTCATTTACTTGAGATATGTACCACCCTGAAAACTACAAATGGGTAAAAAACAAAAAAAGTAGAAGCAAGTGCTACAAAAGCTTTGCCACTGCTATTACTAACTTTCTTGAAACAAGATTACAGATTGTTTATTCCTCAATTTGCTGTGGTCAACATTGAAGTTATCCTTTACCTTCACGATACTTCCACAGAATCGTAAAATCATTTAAGTGGTTTGGGTTGGAAAGGACCTTTTAAAGATATTTAGTCCAACCCCCCTGCCATGGGTAAGGGCATCTTTCACGAGATCATGTTGCTCAAAGCCCCATCTAACCTGACTTTGAACACTCCCAATGATGGGGCATCCACAACTTCTCTGTGCAAGTTCCGGTGTCTCGCCACCATCATTGTAAAAAGTCTCCTCCTTATGTCCAATCTAAACCTACCCTCTTTCAGTTTAAAACCGTTGCCTCGTCCTGTCACTAAAGGCCTTTGTAAAAAGTCTTTCTCCACCTTTCTTGCAAGACACCTTCTATATTGAAAGGCTGCAATAACATCTCTTCAGAGCCTTCTCTTCTCCAGGCTGAACGATGCCAACTCTCTCAGCCTTTCTTCATAGGAGAGGTGCTCCAGCCCTCTGACTATTTTCATGGCCTCCTCTGGACTCATCGTAGCAGGTCCATGTCTGTCTTGTACTGGGGACCCCAAAACTGGACACAGTACTGCAGGAGGAGTCTTGTGAGAGCAGAGTAGAGGGGGAGGATCACCTCCCTCGACCTGCTGTCTATGCCTCTTTTGATGCAGCCCAGGATATGATTTGCTTTCTGGGCTGCAAGCGCACATTGCCAGGTCACGTCCAGTTTTTCATCCACCAGTATCACTAAGTCCTTTACCACAGGGCTGCTCTCAGTTTATCCCCTAGTCTGCACTGATACTGGGGATTGCCCCAACCTATGCGCAGGACGTTGCACTTGGCCTTGTTGAACTTCGAGGTTTGCATGAGCCCACTCCTCAAGCCTGTCACGGTCCCTCTGGATGACATCTCTTCCCTCTTTCAAATCAACTGCACCACTCAGTTTGGTGTCATCAGCAAATTTGCTGAGTGTCCACCAATCCCATTGGCTATGTCACTGATGAAGATATTAAAAAGTATTGGTCCCAGTATGGACCCCTGAGGGATGCCACTCATGAATGGTTTCCACTTGAACATTGAGCCATTGACTGCAATTCTTTGGATGCGGCCATCCAACCACTTCTTATGCAAGAAGGTTGTGGGGGACAGACCATATGAAAGGTCTTACAGAAATCCAGATAGACAACATCCACAGCTCTTTCCTTGTCCACTGATGCAGTCACTCCATTGTATTAGTCAGACCTTGTGCCTTCATGGAAGTAAATGCCAATTGGACCAAATCTGATAAATCTCTGAGGATTATGATTAATGTAATGATTACCCAAAAGTTGTAGCTGCAGCTCATATAATTGATTAGTGTAGTCCTTTATGTATTCAATGGTCAGTATATCAGTAGAACTGTATATTGATCTATTTGTGAAACAAGATAGTGAATTTATCTTTGAAGTTGCGAAACAGTGCTGTAGAGGGGAGGGAAAGTTACCATGTCTCTCACCTTTGAGTGAGAATTGTGATAGTCCAATTTTTACAGGTAAAGCCAGCTAAGCAAAATGGGATGAAACATTAACTCATCTTTTAAAAATTATCTGAAAATAGTCTGAAAAAATAAGCTGTTACTCATTTTTGACCAGAGAGGTTGCAGAGTCTGTGCTTGGAGTGTTCAAAAGGTGACTGAACAAGGCCCGGAGTGACCTGCTGTGTTTCGGCCTGCTTTGAGCAGGGGTGTAAACTAGAGAGCTCCAGAGGGTCCCTGCAACCTCAACTATTCTGTGATTCTCTGACAAGAGTGCTTCAAGATTTCGTGTTATTTAATCAGTGTAACTGATTGACTATTAGTCTGGTTATTGCTGTTTTGGTTTTGTATTATAGAACTAATTCTGGAGAAATGGCTGTGGTTTTCATCTCCTGCATAAATAGCTATTTAAGTAACAGGTTAATAGTTCGTATTAATTGTAGTAATGGGTTTATGAATGAAACAGAAGTACAATAATACTTAAAGACATATGTTAACTGAAAGATAAAGTGCTTTTTTTTCCTTTTTTTCTTTTTTTTTTTTGTCTGTTTAGGAGAAGAAAGATACGGTGCCTTTGCATCAGTGGTTTACAAAGGATTTTCAAAGTATTGAGTTATCAGTTGGATGCTGTCTCCCAGGCATGTTATTCCTTCTTTTGATCTAGTAATAAAAAAACCCCAGTATTTTGTAAGGTCATTATTCTAATTCTGCAGTATATTAATAAATAATTTGAATATACTTCAAAGGTGCTGAGGAAGATCTGACATTAAGAACCTCCTTGTATGGGTTATTATTCCACATATATGCTGACAGAGCTGACTGGGAGGCAGCACTAAAAGTCCTGGATGAAGCTATTAAAGTTTTGCCTCAGACAAGACACAGACTGTAAGTTGGTTGACTTATTTTTTTTAAAATAAGCATCCTGATTCTTGAGAAGTATGAAACTCTGAGTACTTTTTTTATTTTGTATTGGGAAATTTTTTTTTTTTTTTCAGTCTGTCAGTTCTTATAACAGAAAACACTGTTGTGTCTTTTTATGAAAAAAGACATACATTGGCAGTGCTTTTATCATTAATTTGTTCATAATATTTGTAAATTTCTTTTTTTTTTTTAAACTTGTATATAAGTAGTATCTTTCTTTTCCAAGAAAATAGGCTATATAGCAGAAACTTTAATATTCCTACCTTTAAACCCATTTACATTAAATGCAAGCTAAATTATCTGGAGTATTGTTTACATAGCCTTATCTGAGTTCAAAGATTTATGCACTTTTATGTGAGTTTATGAACTTTACATCTCTGTACTATACTGATATGAACTAGTATATTTATCCTGCTCACAAGGTTACTTTACAGGTAAAGATGCAAGTAATTTGAATATTTTTTGTCGTTTTCTAGCCTGATTTTTAAATATATGGCTACAGTGAAGGCAAGATTGGGATGCAATTTTATGGTGGACGTTCAGAGATTCAGAGATGAAAGTGAAGATTATTTGTCATATATGTGGCGTCATTTGGTAACAATCTCCAGAAGTATTGTTGGACAGTTAAGCTGTTTTCAGAATGCAATCATTGCTTTACAGGTTTGTTAGTTTTTACTATATGTTCAAATGCTGATAGAATGCTGTTTCTCAAGTGATTCATGGAATTGCAAGTACATAATTGAACTGGTAGGAAGGCCATATACTTAGAATCCCTCCAGGGATGGGGACTCCACCACTGCCCTGGGCAGCCTGTTCCAGGGACTGACAACCCTTTGGGGGAAGACATGTTTCCTCACCTCCAGTATAAACCTCCCCTGACACAACTTGAGGCCGTTTCCTCTTGTCCTGTCACTTGTTCCTTGGGAGAAGAGACCGACCCCCACCTGGCTACACCCTCTTTTCAGGGAGTTGTAGAGAGCCATCGGGTCTCCCCTCAGCCTCCTCTTCTCCAGGCTCAACACCCCCAGTTCCCTCAGCCGCTCCTCAGAGAACTTGTGCTCTAGACCCTGCACCAGATTCGTTGCCCTTCTTTGCTCACGCTCCAGTCCTCAATGTCTCTTGTGGTGGGAGGCCCAAAACTGAACATAGTATTCGAAGTGTGACTTCACCAGTGCTGAGTACAGGGGGATGATTGTTTCCCTAGTCCTGCTGGCCACGCTATTCGTGACACAAAATTTGACTATTACTTTTTATAACATTGAAATTGCTCTTCACCTGGAAAACAGTGTGTGGTTGAATCTTGGTAACCAGTAACAGTTCAGTTGAGTCCTGTCAGTGAAAAATGTCTAAAAGTAGCCAATTGCAAGAGCTTTTGATAAAGAATTAACTGGTAGAGCTTTCTGTTACATTCTGTTCAGTATAACTCTGATTATGTGATGACAAACTGTTCACTGTCAAATTAGAATTTTTTGATTCTGTTAAGACTATATTGAACTTTTGAATATCATTTCAATGGTTTACCAAATAGAAACAAACTGATCATTTATTATATTTATAGAAACAAGAAAATGTATGGCAGCAAGTTGATTATCTGATTGAATTTGCTGAATGGTTATACTGTAACCAGTTTCCCCTCAACGATGTTAATAAACCTCTGGACTGGGTGATAGATCTCTTGCTACACATGAAATTTTCTATGCAATCCTCACAAGAAGAAGGTATGTAAAAGGTATATATTCTTCAGAGGAATTTGTCAGCAGCAAATGCAAGGGATGTTTTTAATTTACAACTTAGTTACCACAAAGAATGGCACCAGCTTGGCTATACTTTGGCCAGTATTCACTGTCATTTGTTCAAGGCTAGCTTAAATGTATCTGTGAATTCTGTGTCATGCCATGGAGACCTACCCTCAGTCTTTTGGTACAGTAAGATACAGCTCCTATCTGACGTTGGGGTTCCTGGGTTGTGAGATGCTGCCAGAAGGCAGTGCTAGACAGTTTGTTTCAAATGCATCCTCATGGACGGCCAGATGTAACTGTAGGAAATGATTTCTGTGCCAAGATTTGGGAACATATGTCCATTGCTCTTTCCTTGGCTTTATCTAGAATTCTGGGTTGATTTTTCAAAAATTACTTTCAAAGGGATGTATGTTTTCAAGTATTTATGTGACTGTGTAAAAATTCTTTGGACCTGTTACTTTATGTCCTTTTGCAGTGGTATGGACTCAGTGACCTATTTTGACTTGTTATTTAATTGGGAAAAAATGTATCTAATTTCTGGAACAATACTGTACTGTGTGGGATTAATCAATACCTACTCTGCTCTTATTTTTGTGTGGATAGATGAGATCAGACAAGTGCTTCTGATGTTTGCATTGAAAAAGATAAATGTTCAGTGTCTCTAGTATCACACATTTGATTAAAGTCACAGTAGCAATATTCTGTTCATACTTTTCTGTTAGTGGTTTTGTTGGGGTTTTTTTACAGCCTATGGCAATTTAAAGTGTGTACGTGTGTTTTAATTATCTTCCCACTCAGTTTCATATGGTTGCTTATGATTACTGGACTTCTTACGCAGCCTATGTTTCAAGAAATTTTTTACAAAACTTTTAATGGAAACTGAAACAATATAATAAGAAAAATTAGATTCAAATATAAAACAGCCCGGGTTGGAAGGGACCTCAAAAAGATCATCTGGGTCCAACCTTTTGTGCAAAAGGGAGCCTAGATGAGATTATCTAACACCCTGTCCAGCTGTGTCTTGAACACCTCCAGTGGTGGGGTTTCCACCACATCCCTGGGGAGATTGTTCCACTGATACATTGTTCTCACTGTAAAAAATTTTTTTCTTATATCAAGATGAAACCTCTTCTGGGGCAACTTGTACCTGTTGCCCCTTGTTCCCTCCATGTGGCTTATTGTGAAGATAGACCCTCTGTCCTCTTTGCAGCTGCCCTTTAAGTACTGGAAAACTGTGATGAGGTTCCCCTGAGCCTTCTCTTTTCCAGCATTAAAAGACCTTAAATTCATAAGAATTTCTTCATAAGGCAGGTTCTCCAGCCCTTTGATCATCCTCACAGCCCTCTTTTGAACCCTCTCTGGTCAGTCCATGTCTTTTTTTGATTTGTGGGGACCAGAACTGGACAGAGTTCTCCAGCTGCAGCGTTACAAACACAGGGTACAGTGGGTGGGATGGTCGCATCTCTAGCTGCAGCATTACAAACACAGGGTACAGTGGGTGGGATGGTCGCATCTCTATCTCTGCCAGTAATGCCCTGCTGAAGCAGCCCATGATCTGACTTCTCTTCATTGCTGTAGCAGCGTACTGCTACTCATGTTCAGCTTGTCATCCACCAGGACTCAGGTCCCTTTCAGCAAGGCTGCTCCCCAGCTACGCAGATCCTAGTCTGTACTGGGCTCTTTGGTTATGTTGTCCTAAGTGCAGGACCTTGCACTTGTCTTTGTTAAAATTTGTACAGTTCTTTCTAGTCCACTTTTCCAGCCTGTCTTCGTCTCCCTGTAAGAAGGCTCTCCCTTCTGACATGACCACCTCACCAACCAGTTTGGTGTCATCAGCAAGCTTCATGAGGGTGCTTTCAGTCCCATCATCCAGATCATTTATGAAGATGTTGAACAGCGCGGATACTGATCCCTGGGGGACCCCTTTTGTGACAGACTGACAGCCTGAGTAAAAAACACTGATAACCCCATCTGAGTGCAGCCTGTTAGCCAATTTCCCATCTTGCAGACCACCTATCCTGTCTGTATCTTACCATCTGTATCTTTTATTATGAAATAATAGAATTAATCTGCTGAACTGTCCCTTTCCCTAACTTTATACTGTGTTAGTCATGCTCAGAATTCATTTGATTTGCCTGTTACTTTAATAATTTCATCTGTGACAATCATTGGATTATGTGATAGGTGTTACTGCGCTCTGCTTTATGTTGCAGGGTATCAGTTTGATGTTGAAAGAGAATCATGTTTTTATAGCACTTTGCTTCAAGCTGAAAATCAGCTGAATTACTTGGTTTTGAGCTGAATTTCAAGCAGAGTTGGAATTTCTATGCAGCACAACAGCGTTTACTGAAAAATTACTAGAATACAAATACACTTCTTGTCGGCTAGGCTACTGGTAGTTAGGACGTGGTCATTGTAGAAACCACTATCGTGGTTTAACCCAGCAGGCAGCCAAGTACCACACAGCTGCTTGCTCACTCTCCTCCCCACCCCGCAGTGGAATGGTAGAGAGAATCAGGGGAAAAAAGTAAAATTCATAGGTTGAAATAAAAGAAGTTTAATAGGACAGCAAAGGAAAAGAAAATAACAATAGTGATAAAAGAATATACAAAGCAAGTGATGCACAATGCAGCTGCTCACTACCTGCTTCTCGATGCCGAGCCTGATCCCAAGCAGCTCACACACACTCACACTACCGGGCCAACTCCCTCAGTTTATATACTGAGCGTGATGTCATATGGTATGGAATATCCCTTTGGCCAGTTTGGGTCAGCTGTCCTGGCTAAGTTGCCTCCCAGCTTCTTGCACACCTTCTCGCTGGCAGAGCATGGGAAGCTGAAAAGTCCTTGAGCTATTATAAGCATTATTTAGTAACAACTAAAACATCAGTGTGTTATCAACATTATTCTCGTACTAAATCCAAAACACAGCACCATGCTAGCTACTAGGAAGAAAATGAACTCTGTCCCAGCTGAAACCAGGGCAAAGACTATGTCAGGATCAAGAGGACTTTTGATTCAACTGCCACACTACCTAAGTGGCTGAAATAAATAAGTTAGACTGTCTTTCCCACAGATCTGTTTTCAAGAAAGCATAGTTAAAGTGTGCTTGTGGTGGATTTCATTTCTGTATCAGACTTATGTCATTTAATATACATAACTGTTACATTATTAATTGAAAACGTGGTACAAGTAGCATTGCATCACCATACGAACAACATCTTCAGTAGATGGATTTCCATTTTTCTGGGTTTTTCCCATAAATATTTTAATTTTTAATTCAGAAATTGTAACATTTGAATACATTTTTAAAATACTATCGCTATGAGCATGTATACTATTTGTTTTTTTAACATAAAAAAAAGCTATACCAAAATTTTCACCTACAGAAAATTCGAAGATAGACATTGGAGCAAATTATACCATGCCCCAAATTAATTTTGAAGATTTGAGTAATATTAAACAACTGGAAGCTTTGTTTAGAGCGCAGACATTAATGGCTTTAATTTCTCGTCATAATTCTCCTTATCATCAGCAGTGCTGTTTGATGGCATATGCTTGTATCGTCCGTATCTGGCAGGTGAGATTGTATGAGATTATATTATATTA